TTTAGGTTAGAATCTGGCTACATATGTGAAGAACTTTTTTTAATATGTGATGAATGTGCTAATTTTTTTTATTGTGTTTTAAAATTTTATCCTAATTTTTTTTTGCAAAAAAAAAATCCTTTTTTTGTCATCTTCATTTTCTTTGTCATCACTGTATTCAATGTTTTTTTTAATTTCCATTTTTCTTTCTTTGTTTTCTTTCTCTAATTTTTTGAGATTGTATTGTTTGTATAATTTTGAAGATCCTTTAAAAAGAATTTATCATAAACTGAAAAATAAATCAAATAAATTTAAATATGATTCCAAAATCCTTCAAAAATGATAATGCTACATTTGTTTGTTCCTATCTAGAATAAGGTGCTACTATTCTTCATTCAAAGAGTCTATCAGTGTAGAAAGATTTCAAATAAATCATTTTGAAGCTTGGAAATTGCTAAACAAATAGAGAAAAGAGTAAGTTAGAAAATATCCCAATCACTTGAGAAAAAGTCAGGGAATGAGTAAGTGAGAGGGAAAAAAAATGAAAAATAAAATAAGAAAGAAGAAAAGAAGGACTAAATAAGAATAAGAAAAATGAAAGCGAAACAAAGAAAGAAACTAACAAAAGAAGGGAGAATAAACAAAAAAAAAACAAAAGAAAGATAAAAAATAGTAATAAATGAAGGAATGAAGAAAAATGAAAAAAAATAAAGTGGAAAGAAAAAGAAACAATGAAAAGAAACAAAACAGAAAGCAAGAAAGAAAGCAGGAAAAAAAAGAAATAGAGACAAGAAACAAAAGTAAGAAAGAAAGAACAGAAAGAAAAAGTGAAAGAGAGAAAAAGAAAGAAAAAAGAAAGCAAAAGAAAGAAAGAAGGAAAGTAAGAAAGACAAGAAAGAAAGAAAAGAAAGAAAGAAAGAAAGACAAGAAATAAAGAAAGATAAGACAGAAAGGAAGAAATAAAGAAAGACAAGAAATAAAGAAAAGAAAGAGAGAAAGTAATAAAAAGAAAGGATCAAAGAAAAGAAGGATAAAAAATGAAAGAAAGAAAGACGGCTAAAAGAATGTATGAAAGACAGAAATGATGAAACAAAGAAAAGAAGAGAGGAAGCACCAAAGAAAAAAGAAAGGAAGAAAAAGAAAGGATCAAGGAAAGAAAGAAAGAATGGATCAAAAAAAGAAAGAAAGAAAGAAAGAAAGAAAGAAAGAAGGATCAAAGAATGTATGAAAGAGAGAAAGGATGAAACAAAGAAAAGAAGAGATCAAGTACCAAAGAAAGAAAGAAAGAAAGGAAGCAATGTAAACAATAGAAAAAATATCATTGTAAGATGAAAAGAAGGAAGAAAAAATAAATAAACAAAACTTTTCAAAAAATTAACAGAAGTAACAGCAGGGGCGACAGTCCCAGGAAGAATTAGGACCCTCTCTTAATCTGACTGAATGAGATGGGCAGGCTGACAAAAAAAAAAAAATAAATAAAAATATATTAATTATTTAAGAAAAAATTTTAAGTAGAAAATAAAATTAATAGAGAAAAAAATTTTTTTTAAAATTTTGTTCTTTATAATTTTTCTTTAAATTAAATTTTAATGAAAGAAAGAATTTATTTCCGAGAGTTCAAGCCAAAAGAATAAGATGATTATTTGAGGATATTTATTTTTTTTTATATGTCTGACAAATAATGAATATCGGTGAAATATTAAAGGAGTAAAAAGAAATGGTCTTAAAAAAGTGTAATTAATCCTTTGTTTATATTATTATTATTATTATTATTATTATTATTATTATTATTATTATTATTATTATTATTATTGAATTGTTTGAACAGCCATGAGCTGACAAGATAAAAAAAAATATTCTTGCTTGGTTATGTGAATAAGAAGCCTAAATTTTATTTAAGTAAAAATGAATCCTTGAAACAATAATTTTCATTTTGAATCAAGCAAATATATTAGTTTAATTGTATCTTTAAAGTAATATTTTAAACAACCAAAAGAAATAATTATGCATACCATTCAATTCATCACTTTCATTTCTAAGAGATCCTTATTCCACATCTGGTCACTCTATTAAATTTTGAAAAATTGATGACCACTGACAATCCTTTTCTCCTGCATTTTCAGTTCATTTCTACAGTAAAAACAATTGTAATATATTTTTCATCTTCAAATCATTTGCAAAGTAATGCTAACCTTCAGGAGAGTAATTCGTTGTGCCTACTCAGGCTAACGTTTTCCGCTGACATGAAATGGAATGATTATATTGAATCAATTACTAGGTCAGCCGCTAGGAAATATGATTCACTGTGTCGTGCCAGAAAGCAACTTTGAATTCAAAATGTGTAGAAGGTCATTTGTGGACCTTGTGGCATACTGTGTACTAGTTTTCTGTGTTCAGCTCTTCCCAAAATTGTAGTTTGTTCTGCACAAGCCTTCACCACTATAGTCAAATGATATGTGCAGATAGATAGATAGATAGATAGATAGATAGATAGATAGATCAAGTCAAAATGGCAGCTGATCTAAAAATGACCTACAATCTGTTGTTAACTGGGGCAAGGAATGGCTTTTTTAAAATTAAAACACCCCCAAAATAAAACTGCTCTTTTTAATCGTCTGAGAGAACCATTATTGCCTTCCATCAACATGGCTGATACTAACCCCCAGGGGAATGACTCCTATCCAAAATATAGGAGAAAGCCAGAAGATGAAGGTCACATTGGCAAGATCAAAATGAGACAATATAGACATCAAGTTGAGCAAGAAATCACCAATCAGTGGGTAGTGCCTTACAATACATATTTGTTGCAACAGTTCAAATGTCATATCAATGTTGAAATCTGCTCATCAATTCATTCAATCAAGTATTGCATCAAATATATATAAAAGGGATCAGATCAAATTGTTTTTGTACAAATCCCCCACTGAAAATTTTGTTTCTTTTGATTCAAATTAAATTTAAATTTGAACAAGGCAATGACTCCTATCCAAAATATAGATGGAAAAAGCCAGAAGATGGAGGTCATATCAGCAAGATCATTGAGTAATATTGAAATGCATAATTTTTCTCCACAAATTATAACAATGACAATATAAGCTGCTAGTTTATAATAGTTGAGCATTCAAAAACATTGCCAAAGGATTTATACAAAGCATTGTCCATGGATATTAAGCAAGTATGCTGGTCAGAATATCTTATTTAATCTCTATCTTTAAAAGGCAGGATGTGTGTGTGTGTGTGTGTGTGTGTGTGTGTGTGTGTGTGTGTATGTAACGAATGCACGGCCTCAATTTTTGACGGATTTGCACTAAAATTTACATGAACATGCTCCAAGTTAGTGAAAAGGCCAAGACTGACTTTGCATTTTACATGAATATGCTCCAAGTTAGCGAAAAGGCCAAGACTGACTTTGCATTTCCCAACTCCCATCGATAATGGAAATAATCGATTTTTTCATGCTTCTACGGCAGTTTTCATGTAGTTTGAAGCCATTTTCTACTGGCCAGAGGGAGAGCCTATAGCTGGCTGCCACGAATAGGCAGGAAGATTCTATTGGCCAGCGTGAGAGCCAACAGCTGACTGACACAAATGTTAACTATCATGCTAGCATGCAAAAAAATTGATAGCTGCATTTGTCACAAGTGGGAAAAATTTAAATCTGCATGGCATTTTACTCCAATTGGCTCATTCGCTTGCTTAAACTCAACGTTGATTCTGATTCCGCAGAACTGGGTTGGGTGTGAAAAAGTATTTGTTGTTAACATTCTTTTTACATTCGGTTTTTCCAGTTACGAGTCCTTTTTTAAAGCTGATCGTTTTGTGTTTATTTTGTTTAGTTCTTTTTTCGTAACAGATTTAATGTTTTGTATAGAGCTTTGAAAAAATTTGCAGTGTGAGATAGGCAAGAAGTAAGGCACCTAGCAACATAAGCACAGCAAAGGGCACTCCTTTAAAGGCAAGGAAGGGCAAAAATATCTTAAGTCAAGTGATAGCGATTGCTGTATGAGTCATACGATTTTTGAATCAAGCACAGACAACGCCGAGCTAGTAAGTGAATAAAGAAGATGCTTTATATTAATAATACACAACACTAGTGATGTTCTGTCCTCACTGAGCAGACCTTGAATTTTCACTTATTGTGTTGAATGGGTGTTCTCTAAGGGAGTGCGCTGTGCCTTGAGAGCCTCTTAGGACTTAAGCTCAACACAAGACCTCAAATGGAACTCTTACATATGATCCATCACTAAAGATGCTGGAGAAGTGGTTTGCTTCCTGTACCACTCCAGTAAGTACCTGACTCCTCTCACTATCCTCTACCTTTACAAGAGCTAGATCAAACCAAAAAAGGAGTATTGTTGGTATATATAGACAGGAGGTGCTCAGTATTCACTTTCCAGTCTTGATCGTATCCAACAGCATCTATGCAGCCTTGTGGGTGATGAATTATTTTCCACCCTATGTCCCATTCCCCACAGACAAAACATTTTAAATCTATCACAAGTCTATGACTATTTCCATTGAAAGTATTCAAACTATAATTCCTTAATTCCACCAGTTCTAACCTTCATGGCTAAGAACCCTCCCCCCCCTCACCGCCAAGTCATGCAGTGAACTACCTTCATTCCCTTCGTATTTCATTGATGAGGTATAAGTTCCACTCAAAAAACTTCTTTCTTCGAACCTGGAACCGACTCCCAAGAGGATACTTCCCTGATCGCAAAATCTTAACCTGAGTAAGTCTAGGGTTAAGTGTTAACTTCCCCAGATATCCTCATTAACTGTGCCTTTTACTATGTAAACCTCTACCTCAAGTGGCTCTTGGATTTTGTACAGAGTGAACATTATTGTAATAAAAGAAACAAAAAAATCAATTTCTATAATAATAATAATAATAATAATAATAATGAATACCTTGATGCTACAAAGGCGTGGTTGTCAAGGTTTCTAGTCTTGATTGAGTGGAGATGTTAAGACGTACAGTTTTTGTCTTTGCAAACTAAGATAGACGACCGTAAATATCCCCTTCATTTCAGCAAATTTTTTTGTCTGTCTGTCTAGCCTTAACCAGTTGGGCATCTTTGTTCATTACCAGGAGTAATAGAAGAACATCATGGTTGGGTGTTGAGAATTTTGTTGTTATTTTTAAGGTTTGAAGGATGAGGCAGACAAGGCGACATGGGAGACACATTAACCAATTGGTAAACATCCTCAGTCTGAGCAAACTGAGTTACCCGACTTGGAACTATTTTGAACTGATCCCCATCCATAAGGTTATGTGATGTTTTTATCAAAGCCTGTCACCATAGTGCACTTATCTGGCCATGATGCATGTACTTGGTATACCTTTATCCGACTGTGTGTCTTGATTGGTATATTAAGCTTCGTATATTTTTAATCCAGTGCCACTTAGCGAATAAATCAAAATGGCTATGGCGGGACAGAGAGTATCTAAAACGAGAAAATAGAGGCACTTTTAATAGCAGCACAAAAGACCCAATCATATGTTAGACAAGGGAGATAAAACATAGAAAAACAGCCAATATTGGCTGTATGGAAATAAAGCGAAGACACTGAAGCACATATTCAGTGAATATAGCAAAGCAGAAATATGACTGGGTGGGAAAGGCAGTCTATTGGAAACTGTTCAAATGATGTCATTCTAACCATAAATAATAATGGTACTGTCCAGAAGGGAGGCACGGAGGAGTAATGGATAGCGGCTCGGATTGAGTAATTGGAGAGCCAAGTTAGAATTCCAGTCAGATCCATTACATTCACTTACTTGCTAATACCCTTGGGAAAGGTATGAGTCCTCCTCTTCTCCTTCCATAGCTGGTTGGGGGGAGAAGACCGGGTTCTATAGCCTTGGATGACAACTGATCTACCGCAAAAAAAAATGGCAACCTACTGCTTTGTCAGTCATGTATCGAACGATACATGATCGCCTAAGCGTGTATCAAGCATGGCACACAACTGACTGACTGATTGACCAGAAAAAATAGGTGAATGGGAAAGGCAATCTAATGGGAAGTTTACAAGTGACCTCGTTTTGAACATACATGACATGCAATTTAGCATTTTTTTTTTTTTGCATTTGCAAATTATAAAAAGGCAAAAAGTCATGCTTGTGGGTAAGTGAAAGTCTCTAGTGATTTAAATATCTCCACTTTGTACATTTCCTTGTAATCAAAACTGTCAGTATTTTGTGGGCCTCTTCTTGTATTGGCCGTGTCACTTTAGACCGTGAGCGATTATGGCTTTCCAAAATACACGATCCCTTAGAGCTCCATGTAACCTTTGTCATTACCATCTCTCTTTGATATCTCTCTGTAACATTAACATTTTCGTCAACCCATTTTGTGAGAAAATTAGCCACTCCTTACATGCCGAGACAACCGAACAGTTTAAAAGGCATACAGAAGAGGGAATTGATAAACATATTCCTTTAGCAGTTAATATCATGGCATCAGGGACGAAGTCCAAATACATGTATCTGTTTGAAATTGATTGAAACGCTTATCTGATGCTGATCATATTCTCCTTCCGATTGCCAACATTCCCTTTTCTTTAGAGGAGGCTAAAACACGTCCATTCAGCTCACTGGTCTTGAAGTCTCTCAACTTTAGCGCTGAAAATCCTCTTGGCGCCAAAATTTGGGTCTTAACCATTATTATCAGATAACGGGAATCATGTCCTTACCAGGAGGTCTTATCAACCCAGGAGAGATAACCTATATATTTCATTTTTTTTTTTAAGTATGGAAGCCTAAAAACGACAAAAAGAACAGTTCATGATGTTATTAAACAATTAACACTAACCTCAATTTATTATTTTCATTTAGGAAAAGCAACTGAATCGCTTTTTTAGATTTCGGTATTTTAAAATTGCGCACACATATTTGCATAATGATAAACAAAAAAAAAGGTCCAGTTTATCATTCACTGTCATAAATACGGACACAAAGCTAGGGTTCACTTTTGCATTATACGTATCTATTCAATCAAACTCCAATTATAGAGCCACTTCACTTACTCCCGCTTTAAGAGTTAATTGTTTTCAAAAGTGCCAAATATCTGGAAAAAATCAGAAAAAGAAGTCCGCAAGAAAAATATATTACAATACTTCACCCGACCAAATTTTAACCAAAAGTAAATACTAAACACAATTCTTCATTTAAGAAATTCGTAAATGTTACATTTAAGACGGCGCAACATCTGAGCTCTGCGCTGGAATCGTTAAAGTCAAGCAGTTACAAAAAAATTAACGTGTATCAACAGACGACAAATGTGACACAGAAATGTAGCGGCATTCGTTCCTCATCAAGCCAAATTCATTGATAATTATATTGGACATAACATTACATGCCTATCAAGAAGACTCACTTTACATCTCTCTGACCATAGCTCAATTAGGACTCATTTAAACATACGTTGATAACAAAAAGATATTCTGTTAGTAGGAGGTTTTTGGCTGGAAGGAGACCGGAAGGAGATGTTAATAGACACTACGGCGCGATCAGAG